TAAAACCAACGTCAGAATGCCATCGTGTTTGATGTGTTCCCAGTTAATCAATGAGCATCAAATCACCTCCTAAAGAAAGCAAAACACATGAAGACATCTTAGTATTTCACACACTGAATGTGCCGTGAGAAATCGGCTGCATCTCCTCAGCGGCAGAAATCTCACCTGGGATAGTAAAGACTGCAGATGGCTCTGTCTGTGCCCTGAAGGAAGAAAGCCTTCGTTTGTGTTGACAAGCTGGAAGTTAAAACAGCACTTTGTTTTTGCGGAGGCTTTCAGCTCGTCCTTGGTACTTTCAAGTCATTACCAGCCAATTGCAATATTGATATCATTTAGAGGTTTGTTTTCTTTCATTTAAATCTTTCTGTGAATCAATAGCGCTGTTATAGTGATTTTAACACTGACAGTTCATTCAGCACAATGTAATGTTCTGCAGATAACGCCATTAAGGAGGTAATCGTTTGTGCTCATGCATTATCAGTCATTGTCATTGTCATTGTTCTTCTTTTCTCATCATCAGAGATGTTTTTTGCTTACATACGAAATTGCTGGTTTATGCCGCTTCTTCACTGTTTTGATCCAGGCGTTCAGTACTCTCTCAGAAGGTGCGTAATAGCGCCTCCTACTGTACAGCAGTGAAAACACGAAGACAGAAAATTTCGTAAATGGCGGGGAAAGAGCTCAACTTTAACTTTTGTAATTCTCACAGTACCAGAACAGTTGTCAGTCTGACATTTCTGACTTCATGCCATGCAAAATATATCAAAATGGCCATTACAGAAGAGGTGTGTCCAAGTCACTGCTTGTATGAATTGCATTTCTAATGCATTTTTGAATAATGCGGGGGTGGGGGGAGTGTCATTTCATCATCCCATGTCATGTTTTCTGCAAGGTCCCATAAATCCAAATTGTGCTGTTTTAGTTATCTTGGATCTGGCTAAAACTTGAATTATCATCTGCAAATCTCTGTGACTGACTCTGTTTGCGGTGCTTCTGCTAATTAATATTCTGCATGTGTTATCGAAGAACCCGATCTGTGGCATGACTTTCAGCTCAGTCTAGGCCGATCTGCCAGATCAGTGCTGTAGCAGCAATCGTACCGTAGATTTCTAGGAGGATTTCTCAGCCCAACGAGTAACATTCTAGTCATGTACGCACCTGGAAGTAAATCAATGGCAGAGAAAAAGGCCTAAACCGCTCTCAAACTCTAGTAAGCAGCAGTAATCCAGAAAATGACAGCTACGTTCATATTGACCTTTCAGCAGTCCTGGCAAAGAGCAGAGTCAATTGCTTCCTGTTGGCGTCAAATTCAGGGCTAATGGAAATGATTTTTATCTCTTCATGATTGGTTTGATTGTGACGAGCTGTTAAACATGGCTGTGGAGATCATAAACTCAAACTGCAGAGTAGGGCTGTGACAAACGATTATTTCGAAAATCGATTAATCTGACGATTATTAGAGTGATTAATAGACTAATCGTCATTTCACAGATTAATCAGTAGGCTTTGATCGAATATTATTTTTTTATTATTTAATATATTTACATATTAATCTACACGGCGCTCTGCACCTTCAGGTTCGGTTGCGTTTGCGTTCTGAAGCAAAGCTGAAGCGCTGTCTTCTTCGGTTGGATTTCATCCGGAGAGCTGAATTACAGTCTTGTGCTACAGCGCCACACTGCTCAAACTGCGTTACTGCAGGTTATTGCTTTAGGTCATATGAGATCAAACGACTACTTGACAACAAAAATATTTGTTGATAATGTTGACTAATCATTCAAACCCTACTGTAGAGTGTGTGTTCGTACGGCGCACTGCAGAATGTTAATGGATCAGAGCTTCAATACCTCCTGCTCTATTATCAAAGCTTCTTACACACACACAAACATCCTCACTCTAACACACACACACACACACACACACACACACAAATACATACACACACACACACA